GAAATATAATTTAATTATATATTTTAATATATATATATATATATATATATATTATAATAACGTTTAGTTTGTGTATCAATACAAGCTAAAATACTAATATATCATTAAAAAAAATTATTATCTTACACAAAAACGTTTTTAGAAGAAAGAAAAAATCTATGAGAAAACTTTTAGAAATTTTTTTTAACTTCTTATCTAATTTTGTTTTTATTGATCATGGTTATTTTTTAATTAAATTAATAATTTAAAATAAATTATTAATAAAAAAATTATACTATATAATATCAACTATTTATTATAAACATAAAATATATTTTATATAATTGAAAATATCAATTTCTATAAATTTTAAAAACAATTTATATATAATTTATTATTATTCTTATAACATATAAAACATTTAGCATATACAATACACATAGTAAGATACTAGCACGTTGAAAAATTTGAACAAATTCTAAGAGGTGTTAACCTAATATTTTTATAATAATTTTATAAATATTTTAAGTTATCAGTATTATATAATTTAAAAATATTACATTTATCTCTAATTATTAGACTCTTTTAATTAAATTATATTCTTTAAGAAAATATTAATTTAGTTAATAAAATAAAATCTTTTAATAATTCAAATTATTTTTAAAAATTTACCTTTAACATTCCTTAATTAACATTATCTCTTTTCACTTAATTAATTTTTATTTAATTAATTGATTTTTGAAAAAATAAATTATGTGTCTACTTATTTTCTTCAATTTTAATAATAAAAAATTTTCTAATTAATTTCAAATATTTATTATCTTTTAAAAAAATATTAATTAAATAAAATTATTTTAAAAAATATATAATTAATGTAACTAATAATTAGAAAATTGTAATATGTGTAGAGAAACAGAAGTAGTATCATATTTAATTGAATAAATTATAGAAACTGTTATTTTAGGAAAATATCTTTAGAAATTATTGTTAAAATATGCACATTTTAAATTATTATTTTACATGTATCTTGTCATAATAGTATGCATTTAACTTTTTAAAAAATTTAAATTCTCTTCAAAATTTAATTATCTTACCATGACACGTATTTTATCTAAACACTAAACATTAAATTTAATTAAAAAAAAAAAAAAAAAAACCTCACACTTGTTGATTTCAAGTGTAGAAAACTCAATTAGTTTCAATCTATTTAATACTGGTATGCTACCACTCCCAAATACTCCTTCATATAATTGTTATTATATTTCAAATACTCCGTTCACATTACATGTACTATGAAACATTGTTGAGGTGTCTTGGGCAATAATGTTCATAAACACTTTTTCCTGAGGTTGTATTGCTTCCACAACCACAGTGCATTTTGACTTCTACACGACATTTTAATCAATTTTTTCATATAAAATGGTTCCAGTTTTAAAACACTATTAAAATTAGCAACCACGTCGTGCCTTCAGAACCTCATGCTTTCGACATCAAAAATCCTTTTTGCTTCCTCTTGTCTCTATTTACATGATTTAAATAAACAATAACTAATCAACTCGATCGGACCTAATTAAGGTTGAGTTGGTTTGAATTGTTTGAGAAAAAATACAATTCTAACATATGTTTATTTGGCTTGGATCATAGAATATACTTACTTACATTCTTAATTTAAAAAATATTGATTATATAGATTAAATACTACCAAAAAAAAATTACAAAGAAAATCTTTTAAAATTGTTTTACAAAATACCCCCAATTTTAAGTATAAAAAGTTCCAAAGTACACCTTAGAAGAAAAAAAATGAAGCAATACATATTTGATTAAGAATCTGTTTAATTCAATTTTTAAAAAATATAAATTATTGTGTCAAAAAAATATAAATTATTTCTGTATTCCTTAAAGTTAGCAACTAAAAATACTTTAATTCATAAAACATCAATATTTTCTATTTATTGACGAAAATTCTAACAATAAGAGCTAGAATAATTTTTATTTTGTAATTTCTAATACTAAAACATTATTGTTAGAGTTTAAAATTGATAATCATAATGCTTATAAAACAAGATATTTTCATACTTTTAATTTTAAGGGTGAATTAAACGCATTACTAAAAACTGTCTTATAAATTTTAATAGCGGAATTGTGCGTGAAATCTTGTTTCACCGTAAAATAATATTTTTTTTCTTGTCTGTGTAATATTTATTTACGGGAAGGCATATAATGCTGCACACTCCAATTGGTTGACTTGGGGGCTGTGACTATTTGAGCAAGAGCAACGCCAAGCACGTGGTTGTGTTTCTGCCATAACTGACCTCTCAATTAATTATGCTTTACATTACTCCATTACCTGCTTTTTTTAATCGAATGCCAAACATGTCCTTAAATAATACTTTTCAGGTGGACATAATCAAATATTTTTAGCTGAAAAAAAT